TCACTCTTGTTACAGCTACTACCACGGTTGCTGAACTTCAATAATCGTTTTGAGGACTCGGTCTACAAGAGATTGTTTTTGTCTCATCCACGCTGCCTCCAATGGCCAAAATGGGTAGGTCACAACGCTTCTCTTTCTGCATCAAGCAATGCCTTCTCGCCTTCAATAGTGTCGCTTGTTGCTGGCCCCTTGGCGTTTTGGGCCCACTGTGCCCCAACACCTCCGCTTAACTCGATTGGCTACATACGGTGCGAAAGAAGTTCAACAGGTATACGTACAAATCTGATTTCAAAGAGAGCCCAAGGCACGCACCTACACGGGCAGAGTAGCGTGCTCCTCCTAATCAACTTCACGGGTAGAGGTGTCCAGCAGGCACGGTCACCAGTACTGCTGAGGTCCTGGGTTTGGATCCAGGTTCAAGCCTTCCGTGATTAAACTGAGTGAAGAGGTGCGAGTTGGTGGTCTCAACCCAGTCATCAATGACCGCGATGCAGGGCTTACCAGCTAACATGGAACGTCGGCCCAACGTTGAATGTTTACTGGGTTAACAGCAGCACAAATGACCTCTGACCCAGTCATCAATGACCGCGATCGCAGGGCTTACCAGCTAACATGGAACGTTGGCCCAACGTTGAATGTTTACTGGGTTAACAGCAGCACAAATGACCTCTGACCGCCGTCACTGCTTGCAAGAGGATTAGTTTCGGTTAAGGTTTTTTTTTTTTCCCGCATCGTCTCCATTCTCGGGCAGAAGTGCGCGAATAAAAATTAATCACCGTGTGGACAGATCCATGGACAATCGCCACGCTGTAATGAGAATTAATAAATTGAATACAATGTGCCGCTTTATAACACGAGGATCTATTAAATATTAGTTATAAATACATATCAACCACGGGCCACATTAACATGACTAATCAAAACATGGCAACAAATATGATGCCCGTACTGCGAAGAGGGCCCTGGACTGTGGACATGAATCACAAGCTTCGGGCCTAGTAGGACGTGGCAGCTCAAAGGCTGTGGGGGGGGGGGGGCCCTTGTGGGTGCGGTAGCCGTGGCGACCGTCTCACCCTCGACACCCAGGGCAGGTGGGGAAGAGGAGCATAGGGAGGTCGGGGGCTCTGTAACCAACCGCGAGCCACATTAATCCACATCCCCACTGCCCGAAGGTGGTGGGGGGGGGGGGGGTGGGACCGTGGGAGTTGCAAATAAAATATATATATAACCGAGAAAATAAAAACAACGACATAAATACACACACACACACGTGCTGCCTTGAGATTGCACTTAAAAAGGACTCGACTGCCTCGGGAAACAGAAGGAGCGCAACATGGGGAGGGCGGAGGGGAAAAGTTATGAAAGAGAACAGAAATAGAAATGCAGTGACATTGTTTATCTGACATTTCTTTGTAACAGAGGACAAACAGTCGACCACCGTCCCCCATGAGCACAAATGCTGAGGGGAATAGATAGCACTTGGAAAAGGCTTTGAAGGAAACTTGCATAGCAAGCATCTCTCTGTGCCACCCCACCTGCCCCGCCACGGTTGCCACCTGAGGTGCACGAGACCGGCACGGAATCTTCACGGCAAGAAGGCTGCAAAACCATAGACGTCGCGGACACAATCCAGGCATTTGAATGTCTAATGTCATGAGAATCACTTCTATTGTTTGTAGTTTCGTTGTCCTTCCCATCGCACCTCCGATTAGTACGGTTGGCTACGTACGGCGCGAAAGAAGTTTCACGTGCGTACGCACAGACTCTTTCTAGATCTTCCACGGCAGCTTCGTCACAAACGCACGTACCGGACTGACAGGCTCTCACGCCAACATTTCCTTCGAAGAAGAGGGGGTCACAAAAAAAAACTGCGTCTCACAATCTGGCGAACCAGCTTCACTATTGAACGCACCAAACGCCCGCATGAATAACAACAACAACCGCCATTCGCCACTAAGTGGCGGTGACGTCACCACGACGCTTGTGCCAGGCCATGTGCACCTTGAGGCCACGTGAAGTGTCGAACGCCCGCTGGCAGGAGGTCACGGGGCAGACCCAGGTGCCACGGGTCGACTGACTGAGATGACTGAGATGACTGGCTGATGCACCACCTTTGCCCCCTACTGTGCCAACCTGCTGTGCCTTAGCCACCCGGCGCTCCGCTCGTTATTGTGAGCGTCGCTCCTCCGCCCTCCGTTGTTGTTGGAGGGCGACTACCTCCAACTGCCCAGTAGCGTCCTTCACGAGCCTCCTCCACAGAGGCCGATCTTGACACCGCTGGTACCAGTCATCGGCAAGTCCACTCAGATCCACGTCCTCCTGTACCACATCACTCCATCTCTTCTCTAGTCCGTGCCGCGCCCGTTTAGCCCCCTCGATCCGGCCGAACAAAAGCTGTTTAGGCATGCGGTGGCTGGGCATGCGGGCTACATGACCCAGCCATCGCAGCCTTGCCCGCGGAGCGACAGACCAGGTAGCTTCCACACAGCGTTACGCAACCGATGAAAAGATATTGCCGCTCGACTGATTCGGAGTGAGACCTCTGCTGTTAAACTGGAGCCGGTCATAAGCACACTGCCCAGGTATGGGAAACTCTCCACTCTCTCCACAACTGCCCCATCACCGATTGGGAGTTGTGGGGGTCGAGTGTCCGATGGTACAAAATACCCAGGCACGTGCTTAGTTGTGGTGGGGCTGATGGTAGTGGCACGCTCCAGTCTCAGCAGCGGCGTCTCCAACTCCTCCTCTGAATGAGCAGCTATTACCAAATCATCGGCATACATAACGTGGTTGAGCAATAGGGAGCCATCCCTTGACCGCACCTGGGCATCGATCAGCCTCCCATTATATCTGTACCATATGGAGATTCCCCCGGTACAGCTATTGAAGGCTTTACGAACTACGTGGTCAAAATAGATGTTAAATAATGTGGGAGCCAGAGGACATCCCTGTCGCACCCCAAGGTGTACAGGGAATGGCTCGGACTCCCGGCCACGTAGTTTTACCCGGGCCCGCTCACCATCATGAAGGTCCTTAATGATCATGAGCAGAGGGTCAGGTACTCCAAAAACACGAAGAACAACCCAGAGCACAGGCCTACTGATGGTATCATAGGCCTTGACCAGGTCAATAAAGCAGAGATGTAGGTCTTGCTGGAATTCCCTACACCTCTGCTGTAGCAGACGGACAGAAAATATGGCATCTGTGCAGGACCGCTCTTTCCTGAAACCGCATTGGGGCTCCGCAAGCCTCTCCTCAGCGTGCCTGGCAAGGCGATGTTGAATAATCCTTGCCAGGACCTTTCCCGGCACAATGAGGAGTGAGATGCCCCTGTAGTTGTTACAGTCTGTGCGGTCCCCCGTCTTAAAGAGGGGGACCACCGCACACACACATAAATAAACACACATACATTAATAAACACACACATTAATAAACACATACACATTAATACATACACACACGAATAAACACACACACAAATAAACACACACATTAATACATATACACACGAATAAACACACACACATTAATAAACACTCATGAATACATACACACATTAATAAACACACACACACGAATAAACACGTTAATAAGCACACACATTAAAAAATACACACACAGAAGTGCTTTCCTCTAAAACAGACTATCAACTGGGTTTGTAAAACATCGGGGAGTTGAAGGCGGCAGAAGAAGTTTGTGGGTCGGTCTACCCAACCCCCCAGCCCTCTCTCTCTCTCATTGTTTGGACCCTGGCTAAATTAGACGCCACGGGTTCACCGACTGCGCGAGTCCACCGGGTTTCTCCGACTGCCGCCGTCTTGCAGGGTCGCGATTCGAGAGATTTTACTCGCGGAGTGGGGAGGGGGGCTGTGCGTGAATGAACGATGAACGCAGAAGCTGGCCAAATGGGATCTAAGGGAGAGAACAAGCCTGACTGTATAGACTTAGCCACCTACCCACCCCATCGCCCACAAGACCTGTGGGAGCCACACATCCCCGTTGCGTTGAGCAGAGGCTCGTTTGAGCCTCAGGTACAACCGGGAAAGGCTCGGTAATTGGCTACGTCTTGCAATTGTGAATTTTGCAATTGTCACTTGTGTGTGCTGCGCGTATGTTGAACGTCTTTCGCACTGTACGTTGCCAAGCAAGCTTATCGGAGGCGCTATTATCCTCTCTTTTGTGTAATTTTCACTATTGCAATTTTTATCGGATGTTCCGTTTGTTTTGTTCGGAGTTTACGTGCGATTGTTTCATTTATCCTTTGTTATTTTCTGTCGCTGCCGACCCCAGCTTGCATGGGGGGGAGGGGGGGGGGTGGGTGGGGCTGAACCATCATTACAAAAAAAATGGTCTTCATATCTCATCGGGTTCTCACCGCTTAAATCAAATGTCAACGCCTCTCAAATGGCAGACGATAAACCGCACACATAAAAATAATATATATAAAATGCTGTTGTTAACCTGAATACATTACGCCATTATGGCCTCTATTCGTCCAATTACAAAACAAAAAGGATGGCTCGGAATGTATTTGTACTTTTATGAACATTTCACGACGGCCGCGCTCCACTCCTTCATAAACCACCCGGGCCACACCGGAAAGCTCGCCTCACTCGTGACTGACAAATGCCCCCCCCCCCATCCCAAGTGAAACAGCTGACATTTCCATCCGCCCACAAGTTGAAAAGTGCCGGCAATCAGGAAGCGGGACAATTTTTACGCACGCACATGCGTACACAAAGGCAAAGATCACCCGTGTAGCCTCCATAGACCGTTGGGGCAAGTGCGGTTAGCGAGCAGCACCGTTGAAGGCCGCAACGGCGCACGAGCGGGCGGATGGCCAGCAGCACCACGCCCGGCCGCCTTTGTCTCCCCAGTGGCGATGATTTTTACACACCGCAGCAGGTACTGATTTGAGGCCGAGTTGACCTAGGGGAGGCCCAGGACCGGTTCAGATAATCGTCACTTGTGTTGACCGTGAGCGGGAACCCCGGTCACCAGGTTCGTAGCGCAGCGCGCAAAGCGCTACACTACCGCTCCCCGCACATATACATACACACACACACCTCTATCATCTCCCCGCGCCCGCGCCCACGCAATTTACTCGAGGAATAAGATGAGCGGGTCGTTAAAATTGGTTCGGGAAGAATGTTAATTGAACGGTGAAGGTTAGAGACTGGCACGGGCGTGAGGGCAACATTCTGCAATTACCGCACGAGGGACGCGCGGCACCATTCTCACTTCCGACCACGACATCTCTCTCTCTCGACTCGGGGATAAGTCGTAATTAGCGCTTCACAACGTCGGCTCCCAACACCGGGGGAGGAGAGGGCGAAGCGGGGGGGGGGGGGCGTTTCCCCCGCCCTCTCACCCCCACCTCGGTGGCCGGGTTCTGCTCCAGCCAGCTGCACCGTGGGTGTTCAGACACCAGACACCCGCACGATATTAACAAATATTTCTTAAAAGCCTCCCACAACAGTTTGCACCCTTGGTGGGCCCGACACATTCACACGTTCGCAAACGCACATACATTCATACATACATTCATACATACATTCATACATACATTCATACGGACGGTGCACCCACAGCCAACAACAGCAACCGCCATTGTGCCAGGCTAGATGCACCTTGAGGCCACGTAATGTGTCAAAGGATCGCTGGCAGGAGGCCACGGAACAAACTCAGGTGCCATCGGTTGACTGACTGAGATGACTGGCAGATGCATCTTTAAACCGGCGTAGATGTTCCTTTAAAGGGTTCCACATTTCGCAATGATTGAGAAGGGAGGGCACAACTGTGACCGAGAAGACCTTGAGCTTCGGATGGAAAGATAGACCAGGTAACTTCCACAGTGTTTCGCAGATGATGAAAAGATAATGCCGCTCAACTGATTCGAAGTCAGACCTACACTGCCAAACCGGAGCCGTTCATAAGTGTATACACACACTGCACACTCGCAATAACCTAGGTCATAAGAGTTGTATTTCCTGGCTGCACCCCAGGTTACAGCTGCCGCTTCATATATCAATGAGCAGTGGAACTGGTGTTGGCGCGGTGCTTTTAATGAGTCCGCATGAGCCGAGCCTGGCTGATCCTGTCACAAAGGATCCCAGACTCTGGCTCTCACACTCGACCAGCACTGCCACACCTTTAAGGTGGCAAAGGCGCAGCCCTACAATTTACGAGCTCTCGCTACCGCTGGCGGAAGAACCTCCACTAGACAGAGCTCGAGAGAGAGAGTATTTGGCCAATTCTTCTACGCTGGCCAAATGTCTTGGAAGAGGTGGAAAATGCCCACACTTTGGTCCACTTCACGTGACATGCCAATCAAAGACTATCATCGTTGCACAGTTGGGCCAACGTTGGAACACGGTTGGCGCAACTTTGGCCCAATGTTGCGTGTTTACTGGGTACCAAGTGAACGCGGAATGTTGGGCCATCGTTGGCATGTCATTGAACTAACGTTGGCTCAACATTGGCCCAATGTTCCACGTGCACACGAGGCACCCAGTAACCATGCGACTTTCGCTCAACGTTGGCGTGTGGTTGGACCATCATTGGTCCAACGCTCCATGTTCACTGGGTAGTGCTGTCCTCTCTCAGAGGGTCGGTGGTATGTCGGGCCTCGCTCGACCTCTCTCTGTCCGCTGCCAGCCTCGCCGTGTTATTAACCCCTTTCCCGTTCTGAGACGTCTACAAGTTGCAGGGGGGGGGGGGGGGGGGGCGTTTACCTCTGACTCTCGGAAGGCGCAAGTGGCTCAGCGTTAATGTTATTTAGAGAGGCGGAGTAGCGCCGTCGTTTTCAAAGGCATTGTGCTCACCGCAGAGAACTGTAGCGACACGACCGCACTCTATGATAGCTGGCGCCCAAAACTGTGCCACACGCCCTCCCGCATGGCCTTGTGGGACCCAGGGGACCGATAAAGTGATTTTTCTTAAAAAAAAACCCATTTATTCCAGTTTAGTTTTCATGATGTCCATGTACGTCATCGGAATGGGAAAATGTTAACCTGCACTCCGTCCATTCTGTTACGTCACCTGCCCATCGTCTTCTTGGTCTCTATACCGCCTCATCTCGGTCCAGGCGCTGCACATGGCGACCTTTTATAAACAATTTGCAGAGTTTTCGGATGAGATCTCCATGAAATCGTAGTTTCGTAAAAAAACAGTGAGGACGAATGAGTAACACGGTATCGGGCTGGTAGAGTTCAGTGCTATGTATGTATGTTGAACTTCGCAACGTACGTAGCCAACCGTGATAATTAGAGGTAATGTAAATTAGGTGGAGGGGGTTGGGCGAGGGAAGGGGCAGGGGTGGGGTACGGAGAGGGAAGACGAATGTGGAGATGGCTACAGATGGATGCACCCCGTAAAAAAAGTCGAAAGTTTCTCGGGCATATTCCCGCAGGCTCACGGGCGAGCGCTGCTCTGCAAACAGAGACACGAATTACGCGCAAGAACGTGTTAACAGCACGCCGCCTCTGTGCCGAAGGAAAATCCATCAGCAGTTCCTGAAGACGTGCATTGTTGTCATTGAGAGCGGACTCCGCCGCTTTGGAGCTCCACCAATGATTAGGCAGTCGATGGCGCAGATCCTGGCTCAAGGCCACGGTCATATTATTCAGAAAAAAAGTGCTGCTTTTTTTTTTTTACTAAGACCGAATTGGACGTTGCAATTGTTGGATTCGCCAGCGGCGCCAGCGGCGTCGCCACGGTGAGAATTCGCGAGCGGAGCAATGGCAACTCGCGGGGTGTTCACGCGCGCGCACGAACACCCCGCGTGTTCACGCGCGCGCACATACACCCCGCGTGTTCACGCGCGCCCACCGGCACGCGAACGCGCTTTCGCTCGCTCGCTCGCTCGCCTGTTTACAACGTTTACATCGTCCCCAGAGAATTCACACGGCGCTCTCCAACATTGGCAAAACAGCTGCAACACGGGCGCTAATGATTGCAAGCAGCATCGGGCGAAGTTAATTGACTTGAAGCTGCAGCACAGCTGGGTTTGTTAAAAACAACACCGGATCGGGTGCGCGGTGCAGTGAGCCCTCTCCGCGCGCCGTCGTCACCGACGCAGACGCAGAGGTTACGGCGTTTGAAGCACCGACGCAGAGGTTACGGCGTTTGAAGCACCGACGCAGAGGTTACGGCGTTTGAAGCACCGACGCAGAGGTTACGGCGTTTGAAGCGCGCGCGCGCAGAGTGACCCATGCCGCTGATTGGCACGGTTGGCTTATGTACGGGTGCGAAAGAAGTTCAACATCCGTGTGCACGTACGTACGTTTTGCCTATCGGTCACCAGTCGAAACGTCGCAGCGGAGAGCAACGCGAGAACGCATCGAGGAGCACCGCAGAGGGCAGAGTGGGGGGGGGGGGGGGGGTGACCGGGGGTGATAGGGGAAAGAGAACGCACGCTGGAAGGGGATACGGGAGATGGTGTGGATGTGACAAGAGAATGAGATACGGGTGGAACTAAGGCCTTCTCTCTAAGCCCCTAGTTAACATTCCGTAAAAAGGAAGTTGCTTTTTCTCCTTATCTGTCCCCAGTCTGGAACTCTCTTCGCCCAGACATCCGTGATGTCGGATATGAAAGGGCGGTGATGATGAGAGGGAGATACAAGGAATGCTGTTCCTTCCAATATTAGGAAGCCACTGGAGCTATATACTTTTAAATCTCGATTGAAAAATAATTTATTGAGGAATACTTTTTTTGTGTTTAGTTTGTGGTCCTTCCCCCGCACCTCCGATTAGCACGGTTGGCTACGTACGGTGCAAAAGAAGTTCAACAAACAAGCAGCGAGCAGAGGTGAGCTGCACGGGGAAGCGTCTGTTTTCACGGGGGGATGGGGAGAGGGGAGGGATTCAGAATGGGGGTGGCGACACCCAATTCACGTGATTTATGCGAGGCTCGAGCCGATCGAGATGATGCGTTTTTGTACAGACGATAGACCAAGTGAAGGGAGGGCACCAACGGCGATTGGTGCCGGCCACATGTTGTGCTCTCATTCAACTCTGCCCTCCATACCTCCGGAGCGTGCGCGTCCACTCGGCTCCACAGCCCGTCCTTGTTTCTCCACTGTCTCGTCTTTGGCTTTCGTATACAGGGTTCCCTGTGGCTGCAAACACATCACACCCATTACTCATTGGCGACCTTCAGAACTAACACAACGGCCTTTCTTGTGGGTGCTGTAAAGAAATATAATGAGTCAGTGACACACGGGAGGCCTACATTATAATATAAAGTCGGTGTTCCATGCCCAAATAAGGTTATCCCCTGGGCATGTGCTTGCCCTTATAAGGAGGTACGGACCATGATTCGAGAGAATAGCGATTAAAAATCCACGCCATCGTGCCTGACTAATTTACGTTGGTAAGTTTCATCATGAACATCATCTGCCATGAACAATCCACCGCTGGTTAAATGCCCTCACCACACTGGCACAGAGTGGCCGGATCGCCACGGGCACCATATACCCCCTCAACGTGTGGCCCATGTGCCAGCGATCAGTGGCCTAGGGGTGGCCTGGGGGTGTCCCCCCGCCCACCCCTTCACCCCTCACCATCCCAAAAAAATAGGGGGGGGGGCGGGTGGTGGTGGAGGCCCTGCGCAAGCTGCAAAATTCCGGATCGCGATCACTCACCAGTCGAGCGGCTGACAGGGCGAGCGCGTGCCCCTGGGGTTGGCGGCGGCCCGCGGGTCACCTGCGGAGAGACACAGGTAGGCCTTCCGTTAGGTCGGGCTGGTGTTGTCGGAGAGAGAAGATGCATGCGGGAGATGTCCCTCGTTGTTTAGAAATTAAAGGGCTTTGATTTTTTGTAAAATGTAATTTGAACAAAATAAGTGTATAAATAATTCGCGGCTGAGGTGCACGCAAATATATATATAAAATCGCCAGCGAAACGTCGCTACGTAGTCGAACTTTAAATGTTGTGGGTTTATTCTCCAACACACCGGTGTGCTGAAGTAGTAACTTATTGGCACGTTTTGTTCACGTGACAAACCTTACTCATTGGCCGTGTCGGGTGGTGGCGGGTTTAACGACACATTTTATATTTACGTGATCTAACCCAACGAAAAAAGTTTATCATGAAAAAATATATGATGCACGCAAAGGTCACGGCATGAGATGGGGAAGGTGTTCCAGCTAATAATAATTCCAAAAATAATTTACTTTAAATTTTGGGGTATTTGATTAAGTATATGTCACATCTGTAACCTAATTTGTAGCCTTTGTTATGCTGGATGATGCGCAGGGCACGTGGAGTGGCATTGTAAATGGAAGTCGTGTGTACACTGTGAAACGTGATGAAGGGGATGCGGAGTTAGTAACGCGTTATGATTCTGGCTTTATTACAAATGTTGGGTCGGCAGTTTATAGTCGGATCATTTGCTCAAATTTATTTTAAGTGCGATCGTTTTAGGTGAGGGAGCAACAAGAGTTTAAGAACAATGAGTTTGGTCATTTAACGATCCGTGGTGATAGTCACGTTACGTTTAAAACAGCATTTATCATTTTAATGTTTTATTATAAAGCCATATTACAAGCAATATTTTTTGTACGGTCGGAAAATAAAATTTGTTGTAGGTTAGGGTTTACACTATTTATTCACAAATGTCTTTTGTGTGTAGCTGCATAGTCGTCACATCAGCCCACACAGGGCACCGCTCGAATGCTAAATGAATTATTTGTACGATTTACAGTACGGTTTTACGTTAAATATCTTATATTTTTCTTGTTTTGTCCATTAATTTACGCGTGACTTGTTGTCATTTCCCCCCCCCCCAAATTTAGCCTGGTTGATTGTACGTTAGGCGTCACATCACGTGAAGAAGCATTCATTCACAGCTCTCAGCAGAGTAGTCAGGACCCCTACGTATGCGAGAAGGGCCCACGGAAGTGGATACCACAGAGCTACCTCCGAGAAGGGCCCACGGAAGTGGATACCACAGAGCTACCTCCGAGAAGGGCCCACGGAAGTGGATACCACAGAGCTACCTCCGAGAAGGGTCCACGGAAGTGGATACCACAGAGCTACCTCCGAGAAGGGCCCACGGAAGTGGATACCACAGAGCTACCTCCGAGAAGGGTCCATGGAAGTGGATACCACAGAGCTACCTCCGAGAAGGGTCCATGGAAGTGGATACCACAGAGCTACCTCCGACATCCCTTCCAAGTGACTCCTGGGTTCACACCAAGCAGGGGGCAAGCCACTTGCCACTCACTCCGACACATGACAGCGAGGTTTGTCGCACGACATTCGAACCGATGCTTTAATTCCCACGGCTGGAATTTCGCCAAATTAAGTGACAAGGGTAATGTTTGGAGTGAGTGGAGTTTTACGATTACCTGGAGGGGAAAGGGGTCGTGGCCGTGGATTAACTGCAGAATTACCTCGAGCCGTTTTTTTTTGCCAGGGCCTTAAAAACGACGACTGATTGTCCTTCACAGCTGTCGGCCGTACACGCGAAGCCGCTGTGTGCGAGCTTGGCTCGTTAGCACTAGCCAATAGAGACCCATCGTCTCGCTGCTAAAAATCATACACAGAACACATTCGCAAAAGGAGGAAGCACTTCGCACAAGAGCCGTTAAGTATATTTTAAATATATGTTACTCTAAACCTGGTTATTTTTTTGGTGGAGTTAGTCGGGTTGGATTTTTTTTTCACATGTATGTTATTTTTTTTATAACAATTCCGAACGGTATAAAACATATTTGTTGTTGTCATGCTATAATGTACATATGGATAGAGAAAGCACGTGGAATTTAAATTATGAACTTAGGCACATTTATAATGGCTTTTTTTGTTTGTTTGCGATTTAAAATAATTCTAGATTTTTTTTAACCAAAATTTTAGTCCGTTTAAAATAAGCAGGTTTACAGTAAAAGCCATGTGATCGGGTCACAGTTTATTCAGTTTTAAAAGTTAATCAACATTTAAACAGGGAAGGGAAAAATAAAACTGTTTTTTATCATATATAACATTAACACATTACACTTAATGAAACATTTTAAATAAATATAAAATATTTGTGTTTTGATTTATGGTTAAATTCATTTATGAGCTTTTACACTGTTTTACAGAGTTCAAGGGGTCTTTATTTTTTTTCCATCAGATTTACACAAAGATTATTGCCATTTACATTGTTTTTCTCTCCTTTTTTTTACGAAGTCACACTCGGGTTAAATCATTTAAGGCTTCAGGAAGCCTTCCCAAAGCAGGTCAGCTTGGTCGATTAGTATGATGCAGTGTTACACGGTTTATTTTATGAGATTTATACAAAAAAAATCACTTTAGCATGATTTTTTGAAACATCTTAACATTGAACTTGGTACAGAGAGAGAGAGAGAGACTTAATTTAATGCTTTCCATTGGTAAGTTAATACATTTTTATTATTACTATAAATAAAAAACAGGAGATGAATATGCACATTAAGTAAATCAAATTTACATGATTGTTTTTATTTTACAAAGCAAGTGAAACTGCAGTTCTTATAATAATTAAAAAATAATTTAAACCTACTTTTCATATTACAACTTCAAATGCAAACACAACTCAACCGACGGTCCGTATCACGTAAAAGTAGTGTTATCTCCCCCCCCCCCTCCTCCCCGGTTGGGGATCGTTAATCAATTACCTGTACCGCCAAAATGAGCACGTGGCAACGGCTAGCCACGTCACCGAGCACCGAAGCATATCGATCCACCGCTCGTTCGCAAATCTGTTTATGATCGCCGAGATTCGAGGAAATTAAGATTGCGGCGTCGAACACAAAGAGATTAAACCTGTGAAGGATTTCCTGTGGCCCCTTTACGTTTTTGCGATTTAGCGCTGCGGTCAGCGGCGGCGGCGGCGGCGAGGCACGCCGTGCCATCATCAGTAGCGGCTGTAGGGGTGCTCCCGGTAGGCCCCCTTAGGCGTCCGCACGGCCTGGGCCTTCATGCGGTTGCCCGTCTCGCTCCAGTCTTCCTCGTCTTTGAACAGAGACACGGGCACGCGATCGCAATTACGATGCGTGGATTCTCCGCGGCGTCGAAATGGCGCTCGCGGGCGCACGCAGAGAACCCGTGGACTTACACAGAGGTTCGTAGAAGCACATTGAGAGGCACACGCTTAAACAGAGATTCATCAACTCACGTAGAGTTCCATAGACGTATACAAAGATGTCTCTATATACACACATAGACATCTGTAGCTTTATCAGAAATTCATAGACTTCCAGAGAGACCTAGAGACTCGCATAGCAATTCAGTGACACATATTCATAGATAATAAAATACTCACAAGGATGCGCGTAGACTCACGTACAATCACAGTACAATTAAAATTTATTTACCGTCTTAGTTTGATCGCAACTCAAGACGCGGTGCAAAAACTGTGGGCAGATTTATTTCACGGAGAGAGAGGCAGTCAGTCGGAGGCAGAGGAGAAGCTCCTGAGCCTGAATTTGAACTGGTGGCAGGGAGTCGATAGCACGAACGGCTGAAGGGTTCCATCGCCGATTGCGTCAGTTTTGCTACTCGTGGCCTTACGTTCTCTCACCGAGTCAGGCTTCCAGGCGTAAATGGGTTTGAGTTTCACTGTGTAGGCCATGTTGGAGCAACGCAAGCTGGTGAATGGGTTTGAGCAGCCTCACTAAGCACCGTGCCACCCCACCACCTACCCCAAACGTCTGTGTGGAGCCACGCGCCACCGCATGGAGCAGGGGGCTCAATTGAGCCGCACTGGGTACAAAAATCATGCCAGACTCGGCAAACGGCTGTCTGCAAAACGCCTAGTAAATATGGAACGTTGGGTCGACACGTTTAACCAACGTTGGGCCAACGATGTCCACCACATGCCAACGTTGAGGCGACGTTGCACGATTACTGGCCGCGTAAAAAAACAAAAAAAACTCAACATTCGTGGGTCGTGGACCTGGATCGAAATAAATTGTCTGGTAAAAAAAGAAAATCTGCGTGCTCAAACTGAACGCATTACAACCCCGCTGCGGCCTCTCCTTGACGATTACCGTGGGGCCCATCGTACGCCCCCAGCCACCTGCGCGAGAGCCGACAGCAGCTACCCCCCCGGTGGGGACGCGTGGAGTGAGCTCATCGCGGACGTACCGTAAGTGTGGTAGGCCTCCTCCCTGGTGCACGTGTCGTACTCGTAGTAGTCCAGGGCGCTGGGAGAGAGCACAAGCGGTTTTACTATTGGAACTGCTTTTTGCGTCTAGTTTGTTGTCCTTACCCCGCACCTCCCAGTTGCCACGGTTGGCTACGTACGGCGCGAAAGAAGTTCAACATACGGTACGTTAACAGGCAACGCGCGTTCCTCTTGCTGTCTCAACCTTGCCGATCTCGTCAAGGAACGTAAACCATCACGACAACTCCGGGCATCGTCGCAGCAGCAGCAGCAGCGGCGGCTTTTGGATAACCGTCGAACAAAGATGGTCACCGCATCGCGTGCTTTCAGATACGCTTCTGCGGTCGTCTGGAATGCTCTTCCTTCCGATTTTAGGGAGCTATGCACTTCTAGATTAAAAACTCGTTTCACGAGAATGACATTTTGTGTTTAGTTTGTTGTCCCTCCGCCGCACCCCCAATTAGCACGGTTCTGCTACTTAAAGAAGAAGTTCAACACATTTTAAACATTTCTTTTTTTATTTTACCATGTAAGGCTCACTGAGCTGTACAGCTATTTTTCAGAAGCAACCTGGCTGTCACAGGTGACAGCTGAACGAAGTGGCTTGTCACCATGCGGACATTTATAGCGGCCAAATACTGTACTCGAAAGGCATGTTTCTGAATGTGGAGCGAAAAAACCGAAAGACCCGGAGAAAAATCCACACGGAATCAATGTAGGGCCATGCAGTTTGTCGGGGTCTCGAATGGGGTGGGGGGAGGGGGTGATTTCCCCTTTGCCCCCCCACGGAGCCCCACGGATTTTACCACTGCCGTGAAGCAAATTCTTTAAGCACGACGTGGCTAAGTCATGACCAGCGTGGGGAAGTATGATAAAAATAGACCTCATGACCAACACATGGGGGTTTAGGCCTTCATCCAGCGTAGTGACAAACAGGACGTCACAGGCAGGCAGCCGCCGCCCCACATCTCCACGGAGCGGTCTGTCAATGTAATCACTCGACCTGCGCCTGCAGTCGTATTGAAATCGTCGGTCAAGCGTAGCGGGAGAATTTGATCACCTGCAGCGGGCCGAACGCCATAAAACTCACCGAGAGGGGCTGGGGCCTACCACACCCCCTACCCCCCAACCCACTAGCAGCAGCAGCAGCAGCAGCAGGGGCTGCAACAACGCCCGGGTATCATGGGCCCGCTCGCGTGGGTTGTCGGCACTGGCCCTGGAGTGAGCAACGAGATGTGAACGTGGGGGTCTCCCCCCCCCACCCCCTCCGGCCACACCCCACCTTCCCCGTGTCCAGATCTCACCACGCCAGTATTCGTAGCCTGGACCATTGGCCGCCCAATCGCGCGGCCAATGAGACCTCGTGCAGTTGCACCGCCTGCACGCTGCACAAATGGCTCAATGGCAACACGTGCCAGTGGTTGTCCACCGCTCAGCCCTGGTGCTCACCGCAGGGTGCGTGATTAAAGTCCCGGGGATCTCGCATGCGCGGGGAGGGAGGGGTGGGTGGAGGGGATGAGGAGAGGGCAGGAAGGTGGGGAGGGAGGTAGGAGAGGGAGGGGAGGGTGGAGGGGATGAGGAGAGGGAAGAGGAGGAGGGTGGGGTGGGGAGGGGAGGGAGGCCTCTCTCTCGGGGGATGCTCTGCTACGTGACATTTTCCATTCCGTCCGTCGCGCCTCGCCTGCGCAAGCCGCATCCCAAACGCCCCCCCCCCCCCCGAGCGAGTCGCCGGCGAAGCGGAGGGGGGGGGGGACAAACCCCTCACCCCCTCCACCCTGCCCCACGGGAGCTCACGGCGACACCGTGACACCGGGGGGGGGGGGGGGGGTGACCTCGGTCAAATGGTGACCGGGTGAAATTGTGCGTGAAAACAGCGAGGACGAGGCGGAGGGATGATGCGCGAGAGTAGCGGGGGTGCTGCCCTGTTTGGCGGGGGAGGGAGCTCTTAGCAGTCGTTCCTTTTGGAGGCCCCCCCCCCCCTCCATTTCAGTTTGTAAAATTATATTGAGATAGCAGAAGAGACGTGGATGACAAGTGCAGATTACGCAGTGAGATGAGAGGAAAGGTGCGGGCAGGGTGTAGATACGAGAGAGATTAATTGTCTGTTTTGGTGGCGATTAGCGAGGGCTTTGACGGTTTGTGCCTTAAGGTTGTCGCGCGTGACGTTCAGTATGACGCCCGGCGTTTCGCGACACACGCTTCTTCAGGAACTGAAACGCCGGAGAGCTGTTAGGTCGTTATGTTTATCAGTAATTGACTGAGTTGATGAGTGATGCACCCCAATTTTTTTTTGTATTTCCTTAGGGCCCCTACGCTCTTGCTTGATTTGCTCGTGCCTACAGCCAGCCGTCTACAGCCAGCCGTCTACAGCCGCCAGTGTGCAAGGGCTCTGGCTGCCCAGCACTGCCGTGCTTCACTCCTCCTGCCCCAGCGCCCACCACCATAAATCTCTCGCTTGGCGTGCGGCGCAGACGCAGAACGAGCAAGCGCACGCACCTCTGGCTCCCGCTTGCGTAGTCGCTCTCGTATCCGTCGAACGCCGAGTCCTCGTAGGAAGCGTCGTAGCCATCGCTGTATGCCTGGGGAGCAACGTGTGACGGTAACAGATAAAGGCGCAGCCCTGCAATCGCCTGCTCACGCCACCCGCTGGCAGAAGAGGCGTCCGCTCGAAGGAACTCTCTCTCGAGAGAGCGTCCACCAAGAGGCTATTTGGCCTCCTCTTCCACACGACCAGCTAAATGTGGCGCGCCCAATCTACATTGCTGGGTAGATAGAGCCCGGGGGAAAATGAATGATTATCTACATTGGCAAGACGCTTGCCGTGCTTCAAGGAGACGGAGTTTAACTGCCGACCTCTGGATGGCAAGTCCAGTGGCGCTACTGGGACAGCTTCGATGTCTCCAACAAAAAAATCAAGCGATCAGTGAAACCGCAGGCGTGACATTTTACGTTTGATCGTCATCCGTTCGGCCTGGTTCTGCACGCATGCGAGATTAAAGGTTTTGATCATGAGTTGAGGTGATGCTTCATCCCAACACCAAAAGCCTTAATTCATCTATTACTCCACTGCCATTATACATTTGAGCAGGGGAAAAAAAAACTTAATGAGCATATGCAAAGTAGACATTCTGATAAGCCACAAATTAATTAAAACGGCGAGTGGATTCGTGGTTTTTACTTTAAAAAGTGGAGCCTTTTGGTTCGCTGCCTTTCAGCCACCGCGCTGAAACAGACTGATTACACAGGACCCTAATTAACGGATGCAAATTTTTGCGGAGACAAAAAACTAAATAGTTATTCTAAAACGACGCCCCGCGTGCCTCGAGCGAGAGAGAGGGAGGGAGAGCTGGTTGCGAACCCGCGTGGTGCTAACACCAGCCCTGTCCCCTGCGCAAACAGCAGCTCCGGAAAACTGCGCCGACGAAACAGCCAGTTTGGTAACGGCGCCACCGAAATCCACCCGGCGACACGCGGCGACGTGCGCACGCATCCATTGTTACATTTTCTCCATCTCTTTCGAGTGAACATGGATGATGGCTGCCGTGCTGTACCGGTCAACGCCATTCGTTGGTTGGCACAGAGAGGACGCCCGCTGAGGACATGAGTGTAAAAGAGCTTCACAGCTCATCGGGTTTCTCGAGGATAAATAAAGATTCTGATTCTGGAGTGACGGAATCGACTCGGGTGTGAGCGCTGCGTAGACACACCTCCTGCCATTTCCTGATACTTTATGGTTGCACATAAACTAAACCAATTTTTTTTTATTTTACCAGGTAAGGCCCACTGAGCTATATAGCTCTTTTTCAGAAGCGACCTGGCCACAAATGATAGCTCAACCAAGTGGCTTTTCACGTGAAAATTTAGAGCAGCCAAATACTCTAAATGTTGATTTCTAAATGTGGAGGGGAAAACCGGAGGACCCGAAGAAAAATCCGCACGACCACGGAGAGAGCGTGCAAACTCCAAATATACAACGGGCATCGGGGTCGGGATCGAACCCTGGGCCTCAAGTATACCAGGCGAGGTGGTTAACATCTCCTAGCCACCGTTGTCCTACGGGTGGAGATTGCCCTTCCGACAGCAGTGGACACGAGCGAGCGATTGCAGGGCTGCGCCTTTACCTCCGTATGCAAGCCGCGCGCGGAATTACAACGGTGAACAAACATCCGAGGTACAATCCCAAGGCTCTGGCCCTCGTTGAATGCGATTTTTTTTTTACGCGCGCGATCGCGTAAAAATGCTGTCTAAATAGACAGATGGCACACGGGGGCCGTGAATTAACGTGCCTCAATTAAGCGATCGGTAATTACCTTGTGATGAGTGCTAAACGTAGGAATATTAAGCCCGCCATTACGGGCTGCACGCGGCCCCCCACAAATGCCCACGTTTCATAGGTAAGGGTGGCGGGGGGGGTGTCACATCTCAACCAGCGCGTCTGTAAGGTACACACGTCACCTTTATGTTTGACCCGGTAAGAGCCCATGCAGACCAGGAGTGTCCTAATTGGCACGTGCCGGGTTTGTTGGCATGCCGGGTGGGCAAATCTTAGATTATTCAAAGCTGGCGCGTACACAAAAACAAAGTTACCCCCACCCCATTCTGTAGGCTGAGCCGACCTAGGGGAGGCCCAGGACCGGTTCGGATAACCGTCACTGGTGTTGGCAGCCGTGAGCGGGAATCAAACTCGGGTAGCCGGGAATTCAACGCGCAGCGCGCTAACCACTACACTACACACAAGACACATACACAGACACGCGATATATATAACCTTCTAACCGCTACACTACACACAAGACACACACACACACAAACGGACACAGACACTCGCACGCGATATCTATACCCACTAACCGCTACAATAACCGCTACACTGCACACAAGACGCTCGCGCGTGCTCTATACCCACAGAGTGGCCACCGCCCCGTTGACGTGAGCTCGCCACGCGCTCGAGAGCGTCCAATCATCCCAGACAGCGGAGGTGTCGCGAGGGCCCTCGTGCATGGCCGGAGGTCGGCATTTTGCGTAACCCCAGCCAGATGACCGCGTCCCATCCGGCGAAAAAGTATATCTAAATTACAAGTAATTTAGATATACTTTTTTACAAGTAATTTAGATATATATGTTCGTCATTTAATTAGGTTTGCAATTTGTAATTGGGCTATTTAAATTGTGCGCCATTAAGTGATCGGTCATTTGTACCCACATTATACGAGGCAGTGTTAATTGGTAACCCGTAGCTCGTTTATATTTTTCCTCCAGTAATTTGTAATTTGAATGCATTTTTGCCCATCTCTGGTGCGAGAATTCGGGGCTGCAGACTCGGAGACTCGGGGGCCCTTGACTCAGGGGTTTTGAGACTGACTTCATATTCCACTTGGGTGGTCAGTCACCTCCTTATATCTGTTTCAAATCGCTACCGGCATTGTTACTGTTCCCATAAACTTCACTCACAGATTCCACTCACTCACCCACTCACCACACCGCAGGTAATCTACTCACTGAACTACTCACTCACCACACCTCCGGATTAGCATGGATGGCGATGTATGGTGCAAAAGAAGTTCAACATATAATATACTCAGATTTTAAATGTTGTGGATCTGCTCTCGAACACAGCGTTGTGCTGTACGAGTAACGAATTGGCATGTTCTGTTTACGTGACAAACCTTACTAGTTGGCTGTGTTGGGTGGTGGCGGGGTTAACGACACATTTTTACATTTACGCAATCTAACCCCAACAAATGGTATTATAAAAGCAACATGCTGCAGGTCATAACAGCCCATGCACTCACTCACCACACTGCAGATCACAACAACAACCCACACACCCACCCACTGACTCACTCACTCACTCACCACGCTCTAGGTCGGAGTATTTTTTTTCTTTCTTCCATTGCCCTGCTCAACAGGGGTTCTGCGTAGGGGTCACAGGCTCAGAGTGGAACTCACATGTTCCGCATGTATATATGTATGTTGAACTTCCTTTGCACTGTGCGTAGCCACATGTGCTCGGAGGTGCATAGGGGTTAGGGGCTCGGAGTATAACTCACGTGTTCCACGTAGCGGTCACGGATCGAAGTTACGTATTCTACGTAGGGGTCAGGGGTCAAACTCACGTATTCCGCGTAGGGGTCCGGCACGTGTGCTGCGGCAGCTCTGGGCGGCAGCGGCGGGGGTGGCGGCACGCGGGGCGCAGGGCGGCCGTGGTGGGGAGGCCGGGCAATGCCAGGGCGAGGGGGCGGCACTGCCCCCCTCCCAGGTAGCGCCGCCCCCCTGGGCACCAGGGCAGCCCGCAGGCGAGGGGCATTGCCGAGACCCCTGGGGGTGGGGCAGGGGACGGTGACACCGGTGGTTCGTTTTCGCCTTGTTTATTTTTACACCGCCGTTGCTGAGCGCAAGCTCGAAGGCCCACAACGGCAAGCGGCCAGCAAACAAACAGCGCTGAAGACGCAGCTCAGAGTGAGCAGCAACAGCGGTAAGGGAGTCGAGTGACCAGTCACCGATCGAACGTTAAAGCGTCTCTTCTGTAGAAACTAGGATACGGATTTCAGCAAGTGCTTAAAATCCATTGCATCTGAAAGTACCTTACAAAATACGAATGAGGTGTACAGCGCAATATTATTATGATTAATATTATAATGAGCTGCTCAACTCTCGTCGAGGCTCGTCGACTCGGTTTCCCACGTCAGCAAGTTAACCGATGAAATTTACTCCAGTTGCCAAAAACTGACAGCCGCCCGGGCTACCCCGAGGCCCTTGGAACGGGGCTTAGGGCTCACACCCGGCCCAGCCATCCTGCATGCAAGTTGCCGCTGGGACGCAGCGGCTGGGACGCAGCGGCAGCGATCGACGGCAACGCGCGCTGGCGGCAGGGACGCTGGGCGAGGCGCGAAAGAGAGGCCCACCGACCTGGCCGCGGGCGGGAGGGCGGGTGGCACCGGGTGGACCCCCCGGGCGGGAGGGGGGGCGCAGCCCCCCTTGGGTGCGGCGCCTCCCCGAGCCCTCGGCGGCATGGCCGGGGATTCGGCCGAGCCGTTGAGGAACGTCAGCTCCCGCAGCTGCTCCAAGCGGATCTCGTCGTTGTAGTCCTGGGCGCGCGGGAATGGCAAATCGCGGGGTGGCAAACGGTGGGGGTGGGGAGGGGGGGGGGGGCGAGGAGGCCACGGCGTTAGGCGGCCATCTACGATGAGCGAAGGCGGTTGCCACGCTGCCACGCTGGTGCGTCCGCAGCGAATCGTCGTTCATCAAGCGTCGAGGGTTAGCCCCCCTCCCCATCCACAGCCGGTCTCCCCTTAGAATGTTGGTTACCTCTTCCCCACCTCCTCTTCCCACCCCCCCCCCCACCCAATATATACAGGGGGTGCTTCAAAAACAAAGTGAACACTTCTGAGAATTTGCAACAATACCACGAGAAATGTGCCGCCACCTCCGGACTCTGGAGACCGCCTGTCCAGGCAACGTGTTGACAACGATGGGGAACAAGTGGAGACTCATATTCTTAGCTCTTTCGGTAAAGTCACGTTAAATAATTTTTATTGTTATATATATATTTATTATTTTATTGTTTCCCTTTAATGTGACTTTACCGAAAGAGCTAAGAATATGAACTACTGCAGTCACGAAAGCTTTAAATCAAAATTTAAGTGGAGACTTTCACTTTTTTAAGCTATTAACATGACATCTGTTATCACTTTACAGCGTATTATCCGTTCTTTTGCCATTAAAAACGAGAGTCCCATTTTTAAGTGTTAACATTTTTTTGAAGCACCCTGTATGTAAGCTCTCACTACCCCACAGGCCGACGGAAGATCCCCACATGTTGGGACACCGAGCCTTCCATACTCCATCTCCGTGTGGTTCTGAAGCGCCGAACGTCCTGCCCCCCCCCCCCCGGACCCCCCGATGTTTCTGTCCCCCTCCCCAGAAACCACCGGCATGTTGTACCCGGGGCTGCATGTTTGCCAGAATAAAAACGTTAAAAATAAATAGTCGAGGCTTAGGTCACGTGTTCCCCTTGTTCCACCGGCGGTCAAGGCAGACAACAGCGTCAGGAGCAGTAGCGGAGTGGATCTCCGCGATGTCTCCTTCGGGGTTTGTGGATCGGGGCATTTTGCGTCGTTATTAAAAGTTGCACGGTCTGTTCTGGATGACTCACAGTCGCACACTACTGGAGAGTTGTTTAATGTTCCATTTGTGCGTCAGGTATGCGGCGTCGACTGTCCACGGTTTGTGCAGTGGATGTGGTTTAGGGTGGACCGTGAGCTTCGTGGAAGATCAAACACAGGGATTCTTCTGCGTTCGGTCTTCCACGAGGTGTTCGTTTGCGAGCTCTTTTGAACTCCATTCAGCTCCATTCAGTTCGTAGCGTGATGTTAAATCAATGAATCGATGCATTGCTTCACCCGTTAGCGTGCGTGGCCTTCAGCGCGTCGGCAGCAGCGAACAAGGCAGCGCCGCCGTGAACAATCGCATTCAGGCACCCCAGGGCAGGGGGAGGAGGAAGCTTAAGCAGTTTTCTTAGCATTGATCTCAAGGGTCTTTTCAATGTAATTGTGCAACAGGCTTAAGTAATTACATTAAACGAGGCCATTGTGTTTCACGTGTACGCAACGCACGGGGCTGCTGCTCCTTGCTGCTGACAATGCCGCTGGGCGCCGTAGCTCGAGAAGCTCGCAGATCGATGGATCGGTCCACACCGCGACGGCGACGATGGCGATGTTGGCGACGACGATGAAGGCGCTGCACTGCACCGTTTTCACATTGTTTTTTTTGCGCTTTGCTCAAATTAATTTTTGACGGTGATTCTCAGACAACAGGACCATGGCGGGGTTCTTCAGGACCTGCTGGTGGTTCTTTGCAAAATGCACAGAGGGCTGTTTGCTTTTTACACCATAACGTGTGTTGTTTCCGACCTGCACTAATATTCCGTTGCAATTAAACTTTTGTCATCATGAACGCATCTGATTTTCTGCCCAGGACTGCTTAGTCATTCGTTAACTACAGCTGACTCAACGTAAGCACCACATGGAAGTGTTTCTAATCATTACAACCTATAACGCTTAGAACACTCACATATACAGAGACACACTTCATGAATATTATGACATCATATAATCAGCGCTCCGTCGATTACCCCAGGAAATCTTTTTACAAAGCACTCATTTAAAATGCGCAATAGCTTTTATGTTTACAGCTTTAATTATTGTCGTGAACGTAATTCGTAATAAGTAAATATAAATAAACGGATTCGATTAGCCACACAAGCGGCGGAGCAAAGGCTTCTCTACCTTCGGCCACATACAAACTATCAATCAGAGTCCAGAGAGAGAGAGAGAGACGAGCGAATATCAATTACCATTATGATGCCTGGCTTTGTCTGGATTTACGAAGGCTCCTGTAATTAGTACTGAGATTGGTCACGATCGCACCCCCTGGCCTCAAGTGGCACACACCGTCGCTTGGCGTTCAGCGTCGATTTATTTATTCGACCGGGTTAAGGCCCACTGAGCTATGTGGCTCTTTTTCGGCAGCGACCTGGCCACGAATGACAGCTTAACGAAGTGGCTTATCACGTGGGAAATTTATAGCGGCCAAATACTCTACACGCCATGATGTTGATCCTAAACGTGGAGGAAAAACCGGGGGAGCCGGAGAAAAATCCACGCGACCACCGGGAGAGACACGTGCAGACTCCAAATATACAACAGGCGTCAGGGTCGGGTTCGAATCCACGACCTCTTGCATACCAGACAAAGGAGTTAACATCTCGCAATGGCGAGATGGGCCGCATCACACTGCTGCCCGAACCCCAAGGTTCCGATTACACAAAGATCACCCGCGTAGCCTTCAACAAACCGTTGGGGCAGAGTGCCATTAGCGAGCGCCTATTAAGGCCAAAGAGGCAAATGAATGGGGCATTGTGGCCAGCACCACACCCGGCCGCCTTTGTCTCCCGAGTGGCGATGTTTACAAATTGTACCGGGGTACTTATTTGAGGCTAAGTCGACCTAGGGGAGGCTCAGGACCGGTTTAGATAATAGTCGCCGGTGTCGGTAGCCGTGAGCGGGTGTCGAACTCGGGTGACCCCGGTTGGTTGCTACCGCTACCCACGAACGCACTTGCACACGCGCACACACGCGCAGATACACACACACACACGCGCAGACACACACACACACGTGCACACACGGCCAGACACAGACACACACGTGCACACACGCGCAGACACACACAAACGTGCACACAAGCGGAACAACGAACACCCGCGGCGGAGGTGAGGGGGTTACACTGGAGCTGAAAAAAAAGACGGATTCTATGTTTAATGCAAGCTTCGCCCGCGGGGCAAAATCGCGTTTAGTATGCAAGAAACAAAAGCCTCCTGCCATCCGCCGCTCGGCAGGGGAGGCCGTCGGCAGCGGTGTGAGAGAGAGGGGTCGCGCGAGGAGGTCAAGAGCGGCACCGAGACGGGAAGAGGGCGAGATGCAGTGAAGGGAAAGGTCGATAGGGAAGGAAAAAGGATGAGAAGGAGGGGGAGGAGGAGGAGGAGGAGGAGAAGAAGAAGAATCAACTTTTGTGGTCGCTGCTCCACCGGCGACGGAGCTGCGTCGACGTTGCAGTAAAACAAACTCGGGTCGAGCCACGGGCGGAAAAGGGGTCTCAAGATCGTCAGCCGGTCGCGCTTAAATCAGACGATTTGGTGATGTCGTCTGCTGTCGATTTTTTTTACCAGACGGGGATATATATACTGTATATATATACAGTATATATACAGTATATGTGAGACGCCCGAGGCACGGGGAAGGTGGAGACTGTGGGGGGCTCGAGCGAGGGGGTCGTACCGGCACGAGGAACTTCTTCACCTCCTGCAGCGCGTGGCCCATGCGCGCGTACGCGTCCCCGGGGGGGGCGAACACCTCGATGAGGACGTGCAGACGTTCCTGCAGGGGAGCGTACTTCGCTTCGCCGCCCCTCCTCAACTCCTCCTCCTGGGGGGGGGGGGGGGCGGTGCGGGGGGGGGGGGCACGGAGGGGATGGTCGGTGTGGGGCCAGGCGGTCGGTGTGGGGCCAGGCGGTCGGTGTTGGGCCACGAGGTCGGCGTGGGGCCACGAGGTCGGCGTGGGGCCAGGCGGTCGGTGTGGGGCCATGAGGTCGGTGTGGGGCCACGAGGTCGGTGTGGGGCCACGAGGTCGGTGTGGGGCCACGAGGTCGGCGTGGGGCCACGAGGTCGGTGTGGGGCCACGAGGTCGGCGTGGGGCCACGAGGTCGGTGTGGGGCCAGGCGGTCGGCGTGGGGCCAGGCGGTCGGCAACCAAAAATAACGAGAGGGCCCACTATGCTTCGAATTCGGTAAGAAACTTAATCTTTCAAGAGCCGCCGATGCGTGCGGTGATATACGAGTCGGGTGGCACTTAACAAATAACGATTCACGAGGCAGCCCTTCAAGAGACGCATGCGGCGCCGGCGCCGCTGGTGTGGTGGGGACACGCACGCACCCCAGACACGACCCTAGCCCCCCTCCTCCCCCAAAACCACATTTGTAACCAAAACCCTCACCTCAATCTCAACCCCATCTCTGCTTTTGGTCTTTAGTTTGTTGTCCTTCCCCACACCTCCGATTAGCACGGTTGGTTACGTACGGTGCGAAAGAAGTTTAACATACACGTCTAACCCTAACCACAACCTTAACACCCGACCGTAACTTCAAACTCAACTTCAACCATAATTTCGACCCCATCTCTCACGCTATAACTGACAATTGTTTATTTTACCAGGTAAGGCCCACTGAGCTATGCAGCTCTCTTTTAGGAGCGACCTGGTTGCAAATCATAACTCAATGTAGTGGCTTATCACGTGGGGCATTTATAACAGCGTGATGTTGATTCGGAAAGAAATACCACAAACTCCAAATATACAGCAGGCGTCAATGTCGGGATCGAACTCACAACCTCCTGTATGCCAGGCGAGGCAGTTAACATCTCCTAGCCACCGTGGTGCCCCACGACTCGTGCCAGTTTATTTCAGCTCACAGGTGGCACCCCCCCCCCCCCCCAGTCCCCCTACCCTAACCACCCACCACTCCCCCTACTCCCCACCACAGCGGGTGTCAAGGCCCGACGACACCAGCACTCACCTTGGCCTTGTCCCTCATGCAGCCCTTCCCCAGGATAGACATCTTGGTGCCGGTCTCAGCCTGCAGCCTCTTGAGGGAGTTCCCCTGGGGTCCCAGCAGCTTCCCCACGAAATTGAACTGGTGGCGAATGGGGAGGAGGGGGCGGGAGAAAGGGGGCCGCGTGGCTTAACCAGCGGCTCAGACGGAGCTGGAGAGAGCCGCGCTGTAGAACCCGGGCAGCTGGACTGAATCGAGCTAATTGTTGGGCGAGCGATGGTGGTGCCCGAGCACAATTAACAAAATCAACCCCCGACAGCATTTGTCAATAAGACCGCGGCGGCAATTTGAGTGCTTTGCGGGTCATTGTTTTTGTTCTGCTTAATTTACGCGCTGTGGAAGAAGGGCCAATTCCCCAAAACGTCGCCGATTGTATATTAGATTCTCTTTTAAGGCCACGCGCGTGCGCGGTGTTGATATTGATGGATGTGTTGAGCTTTGCTTGTTTTTGAGTAGCTCCACTGGATAGAGGGAGCCCATACCAGCCGGGGATTCTGCGAAATGAAATGTGCTCCCTTCACCAACACAACATCGACCGGCGTGGAGAAGTATGGCTAAACAACTCATCTACCCCAACACACCGGGTTTATAACGTGGAAAGTAAAAGCGCGGCCCTGCAATTGCGTGCTCATGCCGCTGCTGGTAGGCAGAGGCCTCCAAATAGAGACTTTTACTTTTAAACAACTTTAATTGCCGCCAGCAGCAAAGCACTGGACGCGATTTCGATATGAAATACACAAAGTCACCAGCAACACAAATGAAAGTAAACCTTACAAATCCACGCGCTGTGGCGCTAAAAAGCACCGCGCACAACATGAAAGAAAAGTCACGTGGTTGAGAGCGAGAGCCACACCCGAGACTATTTTGTCCTCATGAGCGTCGGTCAGACGTCTCGGGCAGGTTGGAAGTACCCACACTTTACCCCACCGCTTCCGACCCACCTTCTCTTTCCTATCTCGGGAAGCCGAACGCTCGCAAACGAAATCGCCCAAACGGCTCAATGCAGAGCCCTCGCGACGATGAGTCCTGAGACTCGGCGACGTTTCGCTGGACGAAGGCCACGATGAGTATCGGTGAAATTAGATCCACGTGCGTCCGTGTGTTTGCGTGTGCGGTGAGCGCACTGTGCTGGGAACCCGGCGACACGTGTTCGATTGTCGCTCACGAACAACAACAGTGGCGGATATCTGAACTGATACTGGGCCTCCCCTAGGTCGACACAGCCTTCAATGAGTACCTAGCGCGATGTGTAAACATCGCCACTTGGGAGACAATGGGTTTGGTGCTGGCCACCTACCCTCTTCGTGTGCTGTGCCGGCCTTCATAGGTGCTCACTAACAGCACTTGCCCCAACAGTCTGCTAAAAGGCTATACGGGGGATCTTTTTTTGCACATCCATGGGTGTGTGTGCACGTGGCTAACATCAGTGGCGAATATCTGAACGGGTCCTGTGCCTCCCCCATCTTCGACTCAGCCTTCAATGAGTACCTGGGTCGCCGTGTGTCAACAAAGGCGGTCGGGCGTGGTTTCGGCGATACCACGGCTTCGTCCGCCATTTCTGCCTGCATAGATGCTCCCTAAAAGCACTTGCCCCGACAGCCTGTGTGGGCTACACGGGCGATCTTTGTCTTTGCAGACGCTGCCCCATCTCGCTCAGCCCGTCCGCGGCCGAATTGAATTACGCGCGAGTAAAGATCTCCGATACATTATTGATGAGCGGATAATTAATTATCATACATAGTAATTAACTAATTAACGTAATTCACTTTTCTTGCGCACTCGAATCGGCACGTTAACCCACGTGGCACGCGCCGATTGGTGCACCACGGTGGCTAGGAGATGTCAACTACCTCGCCTGGTGCGCAGGAGGTCGTGGGTTTGATCCCGATCCTGACGTCTGCTGCTGTATATTTGGAGTTTGCGTGTCTCTCTCTCACCATCATCACTGTGGCTAGGAGATGTTAACTACCTCGCCTGGTACGCAGGAGGTCGTGGGTTTGATCCCGATCCTGACGCCTGCTGCTGTATATTTGGAGTTTGCGTGTCTCTCTCTCATCATCACGGTGGCTAGGAGATGTTAACTACCTCGCCTGGTATACAGGAGGTCGTGGGTTTGATCCCGATCCTGACGCCTGCAGCTATATATTTGGAGTTTGCGTCTCTCTCTCTCTCTCATCATCATCACGGTGACTAGATGTTAGCTACCTCGCCTGGTACGCAGGAGGTCGTGGGTTTGATCCCGATCCTGACGCCTGCTGCTCTTTATTTGGAGTTTGCGTCTCTCTCTCTCTCTCATCATCATCACGGTGGCGAGATGTTAACTACCTCGCCTGGTACGCAGGAGGTCGTGGGTTTGATCCCGACCCTGACGCCTGCTGCTGTATATTTGGAGTTTGCGTTTCTCTCTCTCCCCGTGGTTGCGTGGATATTTCTCTGGGTCCTCTGTTTTTTCCCTTCACGTTTATAATCAGAATGCGTGTTGAGTATTTCACCGCTATAAACTTCCACGTGATACGCCACTTCGTTGAGCTATCCTTTGTGACCAGGTCACTTCGGAAAAAAGAGCCTCGACTCCTCGGCAGCGCGAGTGTTCAGGGCGCCGCGTGCATGGGGCCAAGGCTCAGACTGACGCTGGGAAAATTTTGCCGGTCGTGGTGGTGGCCACGACGATGCACGTGGCCGCTTGTGATCAAACACTGTGGAGGCGGCAGCAGCAGCAGCAGCAGCAACGAAGGTTGGTGGATCACCACACCAATGCTGTGAAACTCCCTTCCCATGGGTGGGCGTCGAGGAGGTGCCGTACCCCTGGCCTCTAAGCAACGCGGTGCGGCAAATGTGCCACCCCCCCTCTCTCCAGGTGCTTTTATTTTTTGTATTCGCTACGTGTAAACACTCATTAGTTGGCCGATTAAACTTTCATATGTAAAGGACAGCAGAGCTTGGGGAAGGAGGGAGGGTGGAATTTGGTGGTGGCTCACCGCATTTGCTGCGATCTGCCACCTTCCCACATTTTCTCTCTCTTTTTGAGAGCGAGAAAAAATTCCCACTTGAAGTTCTTACTTGTCGAATTTAGCCGAGGGTACTAACACCCATTAGGGTCCTGCTTATCATTGGCAGTGCTGGAAATAAACAAAGATAGCGAAAGCGTCGAGAGCCTCTGGAACCTCAAAGGAGCCCCAGATTCATGAAAAAAAAATATGGGTGTATCAGATATCAGCTCAAATTCCAATTAACATAAAAACTAATTAACGAAAAAAGCCAATTCATCTCTCTCTCATCTCTCGTCTATAACGCTCTTCTATAATCTCACTGCCTCTGTATCACTGTCGTAATTTCTCTTATCTCGCCGCGTCTACATCTTTCTCGGCTGCGTCGCCGCCGCTCGGGTTGTCCCGCGCCCTCGCAACGCCGCCCGAGAAGTTGTCGCGACTACCGCCGAGTTGCTGCCTGGTTCATAGCGCGGCACCGCCGCTGCCCCCTCCGTCTGTCCCCATTGAGGCATCGTTACGGCACACGCGCGATACACACGCGCGCGCCACGCACCCAGCGAAGGCGTGGGGCAGTGTGCGCGAGAGTGGGAGGAGGATTCATGTTGCGACGCGGGGAGACAACACGATCGCCGGCAATTGACTTGAAAACTGCGAAGGAAACGCAGCCACACCCAGCCGCAGCTACGCCGCCAGACGCAACCGCAGCTACAACAGCCACAGCACCACACACAACCACAGTAGGGCCACACATAGCCACAGCACCACACACAACCACAGCACCACACACAACCACACAACCACAGCACCACACACAACCACAGCAGGGCCACAAACAACCACAGCACCACACACAATCACAGCACCACACACAACCACAGCACCAAACACAACCACAGCACCACACACAACCACAGCACCACACACAGCCACAGCACCACACACAACCACAGCACCACACACAACCACAGCACCACACACAACCACAGCACTACACACAGCCACAGCACCACACAGAATCACAGCACCACAAACAACCACAGCACCACACAACCACAGCAGGGCCACACACAGCCACAGCACCACACACAACCACAGCACCACACACAATCACAGCACCACACACAACCACAGCACCACACACAACCACAGCACCACACACAACCACAGCACCACACACAGCCACAGCACCACACACAGCCACAGCACCACACACAGCCACAGCACCACACACAACTACAGCACCACACAAAGCCACAGCACTACACACAACCACAGCACCACACACAACCACAGCAGCAGCACCACCACACAAAACGAGTGCCTGCATTTCCTCTTGGTTCCGTAACGAGACAATTTCACGCGAATGAAGAGGGAATCGACGATTTCTCCAGAGTAAGCAGCCGTTTAAAAAAAAGAAAACAACTAAATATTGACATTAAACAAAAAAAATGGAAAAAAATGGTAATGTTTGGGATAAAATGCATAATTCATTCAAACGCGACGAGCTTAATAGAGAGCGGTGGGAAGGGAGGAGGGGAGGGGGGGGGTGCCTTTGTAAAGAAGCAGCAACGAAGGAGCTTGGTGCTGCTGCTGCTGCTACTTGGGGTGGGCCACCACGCGTGCGTCTGCACCGCGGAGCTCGCGTTCTGTCGATTGCGCCCTCGCTCTCATTTACATATAAAAGGGGGGCATTTCCCCGCCCCCTCCTCCTCCTCCTCCGCGCCCCCCCCCCCCCCCCCCCCGAGGATTGTCGAGTTAAATGAACATGCGGATTAACCCACTCCCGCTGCCGTGCCGGAGAGAGAAGCTGCCACGGCGCGGGAGATTCGTTGCTCGCGGGAGGCGCGCGAGCAACGAACACCGCTTGCGGATTTCGTACATTCTACAAAGCCGCGTCTGATAATTGTTGTTATTGTTCATTATTTATCCCAGTGGTTCTCAACCTTTGTTTTTTGCGACTGTTACCCGCTCCCCCCACCCCCCCTTGTTGAGTTTTGTTTCAATCGAGTACCCCCCCCCCCTCCTCCCCTTGCCTGTCCCAACGTGGTTCTGATCAATAAATGTACGAATTAATGAACGTCAATATTTTAA